ATCTGGGCATAATATAAGTTATCCAAATCGAGGGTTAGGCCATTTTTAGCATTTTTGAAGTTCTAGAGCTCGGTTTTGGGCGATTCCTTGTGGGTTTTTCAAGCAAAACGTTTGGGTAAGTGTTCTTAACTTAGAATTGATTATATTCCATGAATTTGTCTTCATTTTTATCATTTAATTTGTGATTTTAGTTGAGGAAAATGTTGGTTTTTGAAGGAAATTTCTAAAATAAAAAATCGTGATTTGAGGGGCCAAATGGCATCAGAATTTAATAAATTTTGTATGGTTGAACTCATATTGGAATGGGTATTCGGATTTTGTAAAATTTGTCGGGTTCCGAGGTGCGGGCCCGGGGGTCGACTTTTGGACCAATTTTTAGATTTTGTTAGAGATTGAAACTTTATGATCCGGAATAGTTTCTTATGTGTTTTATTTGTGCTTTGAAGTTAATTTGGTTAGATTTGAGCCGTACGGAGGTCTTTTCACCCGAGAAGTGCATTTTTGAGCATTGGTTTGTCGTCTTTGAGGTAAGTATCTTGCCTAACCTTGTGTGGGGGACTTCCCCTTAGGACTTGAGTCTTCCATGCTAATTGTAGTGCGTGCATGCGAGGTGACGAGTGTGTGCTCGGGCACACTCGTCACGGGCTTATTTGTGGGAAAATTGCCTTTAAGGTTCTTAGGTCCTTATGTTCATCCTATGGGAAGTATTCTGTTATGGTTGAGTTGTCTAATTGCATAATTTACCTCTATATGCTCAATACAATATTGTTAGCTTCATCTAACTCTTACCTGTTACTTGACCTTAATTGCCTTAGTTGAATTAGCTGTTCTGTTATTGTTTTGTTAAGGTTATTGTATTTTTCTTAGTTTCTCCGTGATTCTCTTGCTGCCATGTAATCATACTCTTGGTGGTGGAACTTCCTTGTGATTGGATTGTTGGATTGTTATTGATTCCCTTGCCGGGATGTTATTGTTTATATTGTTGATTCCCTTGACGGGATGTATTATTTATATTGTTGATTCCATTGCCGGGATGTATTATTTATACTGTTGATTCCCTTGTCAGGATGTATTGTTTATATTGTTGATTCCCTTGGCGGGGTGTTATTTGTTCATATTGTTGATTCCCTTGTCGGGATGCTATTGTTCATATTTGTTGGCTCGGGATACCAAGAGATCCCCAGCACATATATTGAGGATACCAAGAGATCCTCGGGATACCAAGAGATCCCCAACACATATATTGAGGATACCAAGAGATCCTTAGGATACCAAGAGATCCCCAGCACATATATTGAGGATACCAAGAGATCCCCCAAGTACTTACGTTTGGGACTACGGGACGGAATCCCGGGAGATCCCCTGTCGATATTCTGTGAGTGTAAAAGCACGAAGGGTGATGCCGTGCACTTTCTGCTTTCTGTGTGTAATCGTTGTTATCAATTCAAGTGTTTTAACGGGTTAGATTCCCTTGCTACTGTGGTTTTTTGTGTTGGAACCCATAGTGTTGTCAATACCTTGCCGTATATATACTTATATATATTTCAATACTTCAACCTCAATAATCTCTACATTTTTGACTCTATTAATTTCTCAACTAAATTTTCCTTCAATCGTCTGAGGTTGTATTCTACTTAAAAGGAATTTCTACTAAGATGTAAATTATTAAATCCCATGGTAAAGGTAATAATTCATTCGATGTTGTATTCTAATTACAAATGGTACTCTCTTTATTCAAATGACTTCAAAAAATAACTTCATCTTTTCTCGCTTGCTTTCCTAATTAGTTTAGAATTTGTAATTTACTTATATTAGGTAAATGAGACTTCTTGAACATCTTGAGTGCATTTGTACGGACATTATTTATTGTAGCATGTGGATTTCTCTTGTTAAGAGTGAGATGGAAAAATATGGGAGCACAAGGTGCCATGTGTGTTGAAGGTTCGGAAGTTGAGATTTATGATATGAGAAACCGAGGATTTGAGATGGTCGGGATTGTGTATTAGGCATGATGTGAGTGATCCAGTTGGCATTGCCTTCGTTATTTGGATACATTCTTACTTGTCTATGTTTCTGTTTTGTCAGTGTTGATTTACTTGGTGTCGTTCATTACTACCCGTGTTCTCCCTTTATTGTTCCTACTGTTTGTAATTTGATTTTTTCTCTGATGTTGATATTACCCCATTATTTTTATCTCGATATTTTATTATCATATCCTGTTCATTTCATTTGATCAGTAGGTGTCTTGACTGTTCCTCGTTACTACTCCACCTAGGATAGTCTTGATACTTACTGGGCACCGCTGTGGTGTGCTCATACTACACTTCTGCATATTTTTTTGTGCAGATCCAGGTATTGTTCGGTAGTAGCTATGCGGATCCTTGCCGAGGAGACTTAAGGTAGCCCTGCTGCAGCGTTCGCAGGCTTCGGAGTCACCTTCATATTTTATATTCTCACTGTTGTACTTATTTCCATACGGTGGTGTTTAGAAATGGTAGCGAAACTCTGTAGAGCTTATGACTTGTACCACTGGGTTTTGGAAAGATGTTCATAGAATAAAGGATTATTTCAGAAGAATTTTAGATGTTATTATTTTTGTTGTTTTTCCGCAAATTATTAGGCTTACCTAGTCCTTAAGACTAGGTGCCATCACGAAACCCAACGGAAGGGACATTGGATCGTGACATATCAGGTCCGTAGTTTGGTTCCGGAGCCCGGTACAAGTCCAAAGCTATATTTATAACTTGTTTGTGAAATTTGGTGAGAAACGGAATTGGTTTGACGTGATTCGGATGTCCGGTTGAGAAAATAGAGATTTCAAAGCTTTCTTGAAAATTTCATTTGATTTGGTGTTCAATTCGTAGTTCTAGGTGTTATTTTGGCGATTTAATCACGCAAGCAAATTCGTATGATGTTTTTAGACTGGTGTGCACTTTTGGTTTGGAGTCCCGAGGGGCTTGGGTGTATTTTTGGATCTTTGGTTGAGATACTAGTAAAGTTAAGAAATTTGGGAGTTTTACCAGGGTCAATATCGAGTTAAGATGACCTCTTTTCAGTGTTTTGAAAGCGCGAGCAAGTCCGTAGCGTGTTTTATGATTGAAATTCATATATGGTTTGTGTCCGGGAGGTTTCGAATGAGTTTCGGGGTGGTTTTCGGATCATTTCGGAGAAGTTTGGGTTTTGCTGGTTTCTGGTGCAAAATTGTTCATTCGCAATTGCGAAAACTCTGTTCATTCGCAAATGCGATATCTGCAGCTGAACAAAAGATGACTTAGACGAGATTTTTGATTCATTTCCCAAATTTCAAAACCTAAGCCACAAGAGGCGATTTTCCAAAGAACTTTTCTTCCCCAAATTATTGGTAAGTGAGCTTAAACTAATTTCTTTCAATCTTTCACTACATTTTCATAAGATTCAACCCAAAATCTTAGGTTTCCATGGTGAAATTGGGAGTTTTTGGGTAGAGACTAGGGATTTGACAAATTGGGGATTTAGACCTCAAATTGATGTCAGATTCCAAAACCAATTATATAACCGGGCCTGGGGGTGAATGGCTAATCGGTTTTTTGTCCGAATTTCGGGTTTGGACCAAGCGGGCCTGGGTATTGACTTTTGTTGACTTTTAAAATATCCTAAATTGAATCCTTTGCTATCGTGTGTAGTTCCTAAGGCTTAAATTGAACCATTTGGTTGGTAATTTGCTAGATTCTATTAGTCCAGAGGCTTGTGTGAAGAGAAAAACGGTGATTGAGCTTTGAGTTGGCCGTTGGAGCGAGGTAAGTGTGGGTTAGCCTTGGCTTGAGGGATTAGGTATTATTTGCTTATTTGCTACGTGTTTGAATGTTGAGTACAACATATAGGTGAGGTGACGAGCACCTATGCGTTGTTGTCGAGTCATACCATGCGAGTGAGTCTTTTTCACAAAATGGTAGTTTTTCGTGATCATATTACCCATGCTTTGTTTAGTTTATTATTATGTTGATCGTTCTTATTTGGTATTGATTGAGTATTGATTCAAAGTTGAGGTTGGTATTATGGAACCAATTGTTGAAGTAGGACTTGTTCTTGATATTTCTATCTCCCTGTTGTTATTTTTTCTTTGTTTTGGTGAGGAAGAGTGTTAATGCATGAAGGGTAATGTCGTGCTATGTTTTGTGAGTGTTAATGCACGAAGGATGATGTCGTGTCATATTGTGAGTGTTAATGCACGAAGGGTGATGCCGTGCCATGTTATGAGAGTGTTAATACACGAAGGGTGATGCTGTGCTGTTCTATTGATTATCTGAGGTTGAGAGTAAAAGCACGAAGGGTGATGCTGTGCTTTTTCCGGTACTGTGTTACTAGTTATTATTGGTTCAAGGTGTATTAGCTGATCAAGTTTCTTTACTACTGTGATCCTTTATCTTGTAATCCCCTCAGCATGTCCCCCTTCTGGTATTATCTGTCTACCTCTTACTTGCCATTATTTTGTATATATACTGTTAAATTGCACAAGTTTGTTTGTGTTGTCTTGTCCTAGCCTCGTCACTACTTCGCTGAGGTTAGGCTCGCCACTTACTTGTACATAGGATCGGTTGTACTAATACTACACTGCACTTCTGTGCAGATTTTGGTACTGGCCTGAGTTAACCCCGAGTTTAGCAGCTAGACTTGATCGTCGGGAGACCAAGGTAGATCTGCTAGCGTCCGCAGACCCTGGAGTCTCTTCCTAGTCTTGTTATTTTACTATTTATTTTCCTTCAGAACATTGTATTATCTTTCTGACTCTATTTGTAGTAAATCGTAGTAGCTCGTGAGTTGTGACTCCAGATCCTAAATATTTCAGATATTTTGGGTTTTATAATATTTCGCAAACTCTATTTAGCTTAATTAATTCTGTTATTAAAAATTGGTTGAAGTTGATTTTGTGAATTCTGTAACATTGGCTTGCCTAGCAAGTGAAATGTTAGGCGCCATCACGATCCCGACGGTGGGAATTCCGGGTCATGACAGAAAATAGATGATGAAATAACTAGACTTTATAGAACTTTATAAGGACAAGAAGTACAAATCATGAGCTTCTAAGACTTAGAGTTTAGAAAGCCGGTACGAAGTAAATACATCATCTGTTCGAAATGTACATGAACAAATTAATAAATTTAAAGCTACCAAGAATAAGAGGCAGCTACAACCGGAATACAGGTACGTCTTCAATGCCAACTTCCGCCATACACTGCAACGTCACCATCCAAAATCTGCACGTAAGGTGCAGAAGTGTAGTATAAGTACAACCTACCCTATGTACTCAATAAGTAACAAACCTAACCTTAGGTTGAAAGCAGTGACGAGCTTGGACAACGGTTAGAGTCCAACACTAATAGCCAAGAACAACTCATAATTAATAAAAATAGTACGAGAAACAACTCAAAGATATGATGCTCAGATTGTTCACAGTTACGGAAAAATAGGCATGCTTTACAAGTATAACTGTCACATCCCTTTTTTCACTTCATTAACCCCTCAAAAAATAAATAAAAGTGATTTGTAAAGCTCGAAAGGGTTTTCAATTTTGAAAGTGACAAAAAGATTGTGTTTCGAAGGATTTTCAGATTCGCCACCTGACATTTGGTTTCAATGTGCCAGGTCAGCATTTTTTAAATAACAATTTTTCTTCAAAACACATGTGACTCTTAAACCAGTTTGCACCAGAGATTCAGATAAGGGGGTTCATTTGAGGTGTTAGGCATTCCCCGAGTCTCGTGAAAGTCACGGTTGCATACTCGATCTAGTTGGCCTTTAAAATATTCAAATTGAGGTATAAACACAAAAGAGGCTCGAGGTCGTCCCCACCTAATAAAAGAAAATAAAAATAAAAATAAAATAAAAGTACTAAAAGTTCTATACTATGCTAGGCTAATGCTCCATCGATGATGCCTCGGCCTCCGTTTACATTTACTTCGAAGCATACCCCGGATAAAAATATATACAAGATCCACGGGGCATTCCCCTGAATAAAAACTAAAGAGAACGACCTCTCACCTCGAATAAAAATAAAATAAAAGACCTAAGGTTTGCCTATCCACGTGTGGTCGGCCTAAACATGCTACTAGCGAACGATATAACAAAATAAACAAATAAAAGAAAACTAATTAAAAAGAAAATTTTAAATCATGCTCATGTTCTTTTAACCCTCCTTTTATATATTTATTAATTTATTTAGACCGGTCCCAATTCCTAAGTATACAAGTCAAAGTTTAATAGCTAACGGGCTCGATCTTTCACCTCCCAATATCCAACTATTTTCTTTGTACCTAATTCGTATGGTTTCAGCATCATTAAAATAGTTTTGCAAAGCAATTTAACCAAGTAACTTTCTTCTAAATCAAACCACTATTCCCATCACTTCAACGTGGTAAGCTAATAACAAAAATTAATACATTCATCACATTAAAGATAAGTGAGGCAGAGAAACACAAAAGACAAACATGTATAATGATAAAAAGGAATAGAAAAAGTAAAGAAATGACCTCAAAGTAGCTGGTGTAGAGCCATAAAATTGGAACACGAATCAATTTGGGACCTCATCCGGAAACCGCGAACGGAAGTCCTCGACAGACCAAATTTGTAAGTGCTTTCCCGACGTTGCTGGACTGGTTTTTTCAGCAATTTTGCCGCTGATTTTCAGCCGCCTGTTGGCTGATTTTCACGTTGGTTTCAAGTGGGATTTTGAGGAGTTTCATGGTTGTGTTTTGGAGTCAGTTTTCGTAGCTGATTTGCTGATTTCGAAGGGCTGTTCTTCAGCTAATTTTGAGCTGGAATTTCAGCTTATTTCAGGGAGTTTTAAAGCTAGATGTGACCTGATTTTTTGGGGAGGGTTTTTTAGCAGGTGTTTTTGGTCACTCCTTGGAGCTGTTTTTATGGGAATTTCAGCTGCGTTTTTGTTGCTTGTTTGGACTGATTTTCAACATACTTTCCTGGGAATTTTTGGCTGGAATTTCATGGCTTTTGGAGTTGAAGTTTTGGTTGTGATGGAGTGTGTTTGGCGGAAGAAGAAAGGCAACAGCTGCTGCATTTTTGTTCTTAGAGAAAGAAGCTGAGGCGCAGCTTTCCTCGAGCTCTAAGGTTCCTCCTCCTTTGTTTTTCTTGTATTAGGTATTTGTATAGGAATATGAATTAATTGTGGGCTAAGGGAAGTTTGGGCCGAAAATTGCACCTATCAAAACACAAAATTGGCCCAAAATTCATTCTTCTTATCGTTTATTTTTTGGAAAAATAAAATATCAATACTATTTTTGTATTTATTTTTTAATTTTATGAAAGGTAAATAAACTAAAAGTAACTAGATAAAATATCAATTAGCTAAATAAAAGAAAATATTTTTATAATTTTTATTTTTGTGATAAAATAAAGTAAAAGAGTCAAAACTAGTTAAAATAGCGATATTAGACCTAAACTAAATATTTAAACGCTAAAATGTATAAAATCTTGGGAGGGTCAAAAATTACTTGTTTACAATAACAGTAAAACCCAAATCTTTCACCGAAACCACCAAAATATGAGTAAGTAAAAAATCTGTGATTTTTCTCAAAAACTTTCAATAATGGATAAGATGTTTCAATCTCACATAGCATGAGGAAAGTACATCTCATTGCCTACATGTCAATGTTCATATGAAGTCATGAATGTAACAATGTCGTGTAGCATGAGAAAATGCATCTCTAGGCTTGTATGTCAAATATACATGTCAATGCAATGCATCACAGTGATGAACTCATGTACTCATACTTTCAAAGTACTCAATCTCACTGTCTCGCACTCTCGCTCATCATGCTCAATTCCTTAGCACACTCAGTCACTCAGCACGCTAAAAATCTCTCTGCGCTATACGATGGCTGCTGCGGCGTGCAACCCGATCTATATATAGCCATAAGGCCTGTTGCGGCGTGCAACCCGATCCAAATATAGCCATAAGGCCTGTTGCGGCATGCAATCTGATCCACATATCTCACTCACAACACGGCTCTCAGGCCCAAACTCAGACATCAATCTCTCCAGTCTTCGGGCTCACAAATCCCATGCCAATCAGCCCAAACAATGATGACATGATGTGACAATAAATGATAACAGATACTGAGATGATTTGCAAATGAATGAATATGACTGAGTGTGTAACTACAATTTAAACAAATAACTCAATAGCTGAAATGACCTCTATGGGTCCCAACAGAATGAGCATATAGCCTAAACATGGTTTTTAACATGGATCACAGCTCAATTACTCTAGCACGTAAGAATTTCATGGATAAAGACTGTAAACATGTGATTTTTGACCCTCCCCAAGATTTGTTATATTTTAGCATGTAAATATTTAATTTAGGCCTAATATCACTATTTCAACTAATTTTGACTCTTTTACTTTATTTTATTACAGGAAAATAAATAAAAAAATAGTTTCTTTGATGTTTTGTAGTCATTTTTAATAGGTTAGTGTTATTTTAATAGTTATTTTATTTAAGTAGGATTAATTGGTAAATAATGTAGTATTTCAGTCTTGTTCAAAGAGAAAGAATACAATTAGGGCTCAAATAACCTATTTTCTAGGCCTAATTTTCGGATCTAGCCCAAATTCCCAAGCCCATAATTCCTAGGCTCATACCCCTTAACCTAAAAAAACCCTATAAAAACACAAAAAAGAGACCTAAACGCGGAAGATCCCTAACTTTGGAAATCCGCCGTTCAACACAGTAGACCCCCCCTAACGTCTTCTTCTTCACACACAAAGAAGCAGCCATAGAAAATCTTAGGAGATTCAACCTAACATGGCTTGACCATGAACAGCCGCAGCAGCCATAAACAAGCATCAACCGTTGAGCTTCATCTTCTGGAGACCCTATCTTGAGCAGCTAAAATACACAAAAAACAGACCCCTATCTCTAACGAAAACTCTAGAACACCATAGCTGTGCCTGCTGCTTCATCTTCAACCTTCAACACCCTTCTTCTTCAACACAAAACCCTAGAACACCGCCCTTCCAGCCGCACCACCCCTGCGACCAAAATCCAGCATCACGCCATCCACCAGACGACCCCAGCCCTTCTCCAAATAACCAGCGACCACCGGCTACTATTTTCATTCCAAAACGAGAGCAACAACAGGGAGGAAAAGTTTCTGCTTTTTCTTCTCGTTCTTTGGTTGTCGTAAAAAAACAGCGGCGTTTCAGTTAAATTTGAATTCCGTTAAAGCCCGTTCGTAGGTCGCTAGTGTCATTCATTGGGTCTGTTCAGTTCCGTTCGAGGTTTCCGGACAGATTTGGGTTCCGTCGAGTTTGTCACTGGAGGAGAGCTTTTTGATAAAATTGTAAGATTCCTTCAGAATTTTCAATAAGGTTATTACATCATTAAATCAATAACTCTTGTAGACTTGCTATTAGATTTTCGTTGTATGTGATAATAACTTGATAGCTTTCTATTTGATAATGACCGGAAACGTATCTGTAAATGAGAATAGAGGTACGACTGAGGCACTATTGCAATTACTGTGCGTGCCTATGACAAGCTTCTATGAATCGATGCTCTTCATTTATCAGGATAGGTTGTAGCTCTGGGCCGCGTTACTTTAATGGAGATTTTGGAAGTAGATAATGTAGTGGTCAGCTGGTACACGTTCGCGTGACTTTGGCCAAATAATCTTAATAATAATAATATGTTATTAGTTGTGTACACGTTCGCGTGACACGAGTACGTTTGTAAAACTGATAGTCGTAGCTTGCTTTAGGCACGTTCAATATACCATCGTGATTGTGTACACGTTCGCGTAACATAATTACGATTTTAAAACAAAAATCGGAGTATGCGTTCGCAAAACTTCGGCCAAAATTTCTTAATAATAATAAGGCATTACTAATTGTGGACACGTTCGCTTGACATAATTTTTGACGCGCCAAACAAATGGGTACACGTACGCGTGACCTGTTGTTAAGATAATTGCTTAATTAAAAGAGGTAAACGCACATAGGTTCTAAAATGGGTAATTAAACAATTTAATAAGCCAAGTATGATCAAAGCGACCGTGCTAAAACCACGAAACTTGGGAATGCCTAACACCTTCTCCCGGGTTAACATAATTCCTTACCCGGATTTCCGTGTTCGTAGACCGTAAATAGAGTCAAATCTCCTCGATTCGGGTTTCTATACCGATGACTTGGGACACCATTAACTATCCCAAGTGGCGACTCTGATCTTAAATAATAATCTCGTTTCGATTGTCACTTTAATCGGAAAAACTCCCTTATACCCTTTCCGGGGATAGTAAAAAAGGAGGTGTGACAGCTCTGGCGACTCCGCTGGGGACAAGAACCTAGAATCTCTGGTTCAGGGTTTAAGAATTCGAGCTTGTTAAAATGATTTTTACTTGGCTTCATTTATTGTTAATATTACTGTATTCTGTGAACCTTTTGTGCTGAATGCTATTTGTTTACCGCTTTAATATTGTTTGAATTTGTATATAACTGTCTTCTTACGCCACCCCTCTGAGTCTTCTAAAAATTGTGCACACGTTCGCGTGGCCCGCTTTTTCTGTAGAAATTATACCAAGTAGAACGAGGCTGGGCCAGCAACAAGGCCGGGTAGACTTTAGTGCTCCAGTTGTCCGCTCGGGCAACCCAAGTCTAGAACACAATCCCAGGATTTAAACCTAGAAAAACACAGCCTCATGACGGATCCCTAGTAGGAAAGTTTGTTTGCATCACGTGCATTTGACTTAGGGGACTCAACACAGGTGTTGGGTCCGTCTAGGACAGGTGTACCCAAAACATAAAAGACCATCCTGATGCATCCTATGTGCTACATGTTGCATTTCTCCAAGGGCAAAAGGGTCATTTGGCGGACCAATTTTGGCTGAGGGTAAATGAGAAAGAAAAGAGGGTGAAGTGTGAAAATGAAGCAAGTGGGGCCCAGTTATAATTTTCTTTCACACTTTTTCAAAAATAAAACCAAAAAAAATTGAAAATGAAAAAAAAATCCAAAAAAAGATTTTTCACTTTCCCATCATTTTTGTTGTTTTTTCTTAAAAAAAAAATCAAAAAAGAGGAACAAGAAAATCCAAAAGATTTTACATGTTCCATCATTTTCAAGGAAAAGATAAAAAAAATATGTTCTCTAAATTAGTTGTTTTATTTATTTCTCGCCTGTATTCAATCTGCCCGAACTACGCATACCTGATTCTCGTCTTTCGGGGCGTGATACGTAGGCAACCCACATAGGGTCCGGTCTTCCTAGTGAGTCTTAGGTTCTTGGCTTCGCGGGGTCTTAGCCAAATCTTGCATTTTTAGCCACTTTTTAGCCACATAGGTTAATCTTAGAAAAATAGTCACAATCATGTGTTGCATGTGTCCAACAGGAAGGGTTATTGTCTCACATAGCGTTATAGGTTTTTAACTTTATTTGGTCTTAATTTTCTCATACAGGTATGGATTTACTTACCGGAGTTTGAGCATGACAGAGCCCCAGGACCATCTAGTCAGGATCGCTCATTTAGGAGTGGATTAAAAGGAGATTTTCTTTTCTTTTTTATATTTTGAGTCTGCTTTTCTTTTTATGTCGTCTTTTACCTTCTAGTTTTTTATAGTAATGTCGAGTTTCTTTTATTATTATTGTATTTTCTATTTTGCATTTGAAAAAGTGTGTTATAAATCAAAAATCCAAAAAAAAGAGATGTTGCATTTTATATTTTCGTTAGAAGTTTTCTTTAGAAT